CAAGACGCTTTCCAGGATTCTACGATATTCTTTCCGAATATTATAGGATAGACGAAAAGAGAAAAAACGGTAACGCACAGAGATTCCGGTAGCAGAGTTACGCGTTTTTCATGTACAGCAAATAAAAAGGTCAGTTATACGAGCAGAAGTTTTTCGTCAAATGTGCTTTGTGCATTTTTATGCATCGCCGCAAAAATTCTCAATCTTCCTTCTTTTGACAATTTATTACCACTAAGATTAAATCCTTGTAGTGTGCGATTTTCTTTTAGCAATTCACATATTGGTGTGACACATTGATTAATTGAATTATTAAACACATTTAACCATTTCAATGTTTTTTTTGTTGTAAGAGCATTAACCAAATCGGTCATACCACGATCAGTTATTTGATTATCGCATAAACAGAGACATGCTAAATCTCGATTATATCGTAACATTTCAGCGAGATGTTGACAACAATTATCCTTGATTTTGAATGAACTTAAACTCAAAACTTGAATTGTTTCATTTATCGACAGCGATTGGCTGAGATGGTTGACAGTACTTTCATCTAAATCACTGTTATTCAATATTAATTCCATACATTTTCGGTTGATTATTAATTTGTCAAAAAATGTTCGAAGTGCTGCGGACCCCAAACGTAATCCTTGTGAAAAGTCAATTTGCGTCGAACATTGTAAAAAATACGATAGCATGATGATAATATGATGACACTTGAATATTGTTAGTTGTTGATGATAAAATGAAATTAATGCTATACACCTTTTTTTATGTAACAAGTCAGTTAGACTCATCAAACACCTCCTCGGTCAGAACACTCAGTTACACATAAAAAATGTTGAAATATGTCGTCATCGATGGATGAATGATGAAAAAACCTTTTTATTTCTTGTAAGTAAACTATATTGTCGAGCAAAACAGAACAAAAAATTCTTTAATAAGAATATGGAAGAAATTATGAAAAGAAGAATATTCTTGTCAATCAACGGGAAGAAATATGTAATGGGTTAGACAATAAAATTTAATTATTAACATCACTATTACAATTAAGGTCCACTTCACGTGCCTAAATATCAGGACCATGGGCTATTACACGACATGGGTGATCGCTCCCATCCGGAAAGTGAGGTTTACACTCGCCTTATCCAAAAAATCTTTACTCTAGAACATTAAACCTCATCAAAAGGCTTTTATTAATTAACTATCACCACTTTATGAGAAGAGAAATCACTAGGAATCCAAACAATGGCTACGAATTTATTTGTGGAAAGTGGTGATTTGTGTGATGTCCTCTGAGTGATTTGTTTTTAGCTTTACCACGTTTTTTGTCATCACATTTTTTTAGTTGTTTTGATTACTTCGTGTCTTAAATATATTAAAAGCATTCAGAAAACAAGTCACTTCATCGTACATCCGAATAATAATGGAACTCTTGCTCGCTTTTTCTCTCCGAGACATTAGCTCTCTTTTGATATGTGTTCGATATGATAAATTTGAAATTTAGAATGTAGTTTATAACAAAACAAGTCACTTAGGTTAGCACGTGCACTGAACGGAAACACTTTTGCTTTTTTTGAGGAACACATTATTTATGTTTGTCTTACACATAAATATTTTCAAGCTGAACTTTGTGTGTGCAGGTTCCTTGTGAAGAAAAGCTAATAGTATTCAAAAGATAAATAAACATTGATTTATTCTCTAGCATGTCTTTAATTTTTTTCAGGTAACATAGCAGTAAACTATTGTCCATCCAAAAAAAGAATGGTATATGACTGTTTTTTGAATAACTTTTGATAGGAAAAAGCTAAAGAGCTCCAATTTTCACCATTCGAAAGGGGAGACTTGGAGACATGTTTTCATAACCAAAATTGTTCCCAGAAGAGCTTTCTGAAACAGGTTTTCTAGGGGATCTTTGGAAAACTAGCCCGTGTGTAAAATTTTTCCAGTAGGATTGTATTGATTTCTTTTCACAGACTGATAGCCCAGGGTGTCCTTTTCAAATTGAGAGTCAAGTGAGACCTTGATTTTCCGCGCTTCGGGCGTTGTATCGGATTTCCTACGAATCCCAGGACTGGCACCTAGTGACGATCGGTAGCCTTCAAGACGGATGAACTATGCATAATCGATCACGCTGCGTCTCGTGACAATATTAGTTTCTAGAAAAGTTTTAAAATTCTACCGAAAAGCGAGTTTACGAAAATGAGAGTTTTCAGACTGTTTCACCTAATATTAAAAAATTCACTATTCACTCAAAATACATCAGAACGAGTTCAGGATTTCCGAATGTGGAGTATTTAAGCTATTCTTTATCCTGTTTATAGGAGATCTCAAAAGAAATTCCACAGAACCCTAAGGTTTTCTGGAAAACCGAATTCCAAAAATATGCTTTTTCTGATTTTTCGATCGTATGATCACGTTAAGGGAATTAACCATACCGTGAAATCTTAAACTCGTTCTGATGTATTTTGAGTGAATAGTGAATTTTTTAATATTAGGTG